TCTATTTTTAGTGGGACTGAGTTCACAAATAGCCTTAAAAAAAAGTGATCTAGAATTTTTTTATCTCGTTTAACAAACTCATCAAGTAAATTGCTTCAATTTAAAAAAAATTGTTAGATAAAGCTTTTATCGCCCATCAAATATAAGTTATAAATATATATTGATCTTTCTACTTATAAAGCAGATGTTCAGAATATTTCAAGATAATAAACTTGTTCAATTAATTATAAGTTTTGCAAAGTTATATCTAATAGACAATAGATTAGATAACACCTTATCTGACCATCAGACATAAATTTTAATTATTTAAAGTTTACTTATAAGTATTCATAGCATTGTGGTCAAGGGCGAAGCTAGTAAGGATTTATGAATTCATTCGACAGAAAATTACAATATATATATATATATACTCGTATGTCATGTTTTGAATGAATCTTAATGAAAATTCTGACTCCGCCTTTACCCCTCCCAAATCCCCACCAAGCCCAAACAAACCCCACTGAAAACACAAAGCAAGAGATGATTAACACGCAATTGAATCCATCCATTTACTATATAAAACACATACACACACACTATACTAACATACAAGAAAAATCCACATTTAGTTCTTAATTTTCCCAAAAATATCAAAATGAAAATTTTGCTTTTCCTAATGATGTTTCTAGCTATGTTGATAGTAACAAAAGGGAATAACAATCTAGTAGAAACAACATGCAAGAACACACCAAATTATAATTTGTGTGTGAAAACTTTGTCTTTAGACAAAAGAAGTCAAACAGCAGGAGATATTACAACATTAGCATTAATTATGGTTGATGCTATTAAATCTAAAGCTAATCAAGCTGCTAATACTATTTCAAAGCTTAGGCATTCTAATCCTCCTCAAGCTTGGAAAGATCCTTTGAAGAATTGTGCCTTTTCATATAAGGTAATGTTATTCGTTTGCGTGTTTCAATTTGTTTATCCTATTTTTTTTAAGTAAAAATTTCGATTTTCGACTCTGATGAATAAGGAGCTATGTTAATTTTTTTGTTTCAATTTGTTTATCTTATCTTTTTAAGTAAAAATTTCGACTCTGAATAAGGAGTTATGTTTATCTTACTTCTTTAGTGAAAATTTTGCTTAATCTTAACATCTAATTAAAAGAAACTTTAATTTTAATTTTTTAATATAAGTATTAAACGTCTTATAAAAAAATAATATAATAATAATGTCTGATTAAATTGAATAAAACGTAGAAAGTGTTCTTTTTGCTTTTTTGGCTTTTGCTTATGTGACATAATTTAACTTATATAGATTAAAAAAAGAAATAAAACTTTTGAATTTTGATCTTAAACATGTTATTTCCTTTACGTAACACACTTCTCTTACTTCTGTTTTGTCCGTTTTAAAAAAAGTCACTTTTCTATAATTAAAAGTAATTTTATTTTATTTTTCTTTTTTACCCTCGATAGAATATTTTACAATCACATAACTATCCAAATTTATGACAAATTTTAAAAATCTTTCTTGATAAATATTTGAATTTGAATCTAGTTAAATAATCTTATATAATTGAAAAAGAAAAAAAATACATATTATGTGGTTATAAATTTTTTTGAATCTTTTAATTTTAGATCACCTACCATAAGATGCGAGTAGCTAGCTTGATCATGAGTATATTATAATGTCACGTAAATTGAAATTGAAAGAATATCAATGACATGTTGAATTTTATTGTATGGTTTCAAAAACAGGTAATTTTAACAGCAAGTATGCCAGAAGCAATAGAAGCATTAACAAAAGGTGATCCAAAATTTGCAGAAGATGGAATGGTTGGTTCTTCTGGTGATGCACAAGAATGTGAAGAATATTTTAAAGCTATAACTATTAAATATTCACCACTTTCTAAATTAAATATAGACGTTCATGAACTTTCTGATGTTGGTAGAGCTATTGTAAGAAATTTATTGTGATATGTCATGTCATGATGTTAAGTTTCAGAAAATTTTAGTAACTTAGTTGATAGATTGTCTGAATTATTATTTTGCTGGTGAGGGTTCGATTCGTCATGTCATAATCTCATGTCCATTTCCCTTTTTCCTGCCCCAAACCTTCTTTTTTTTTAAGTGTTAGGTGTCTACTCTTTTTCATTTCATAAATTAGTGACATGTGTAAAGAGCCCTCTTAATTATTAGAAGAAAAATGTATCATGAATATTTGTACAAGTGTAATACTCTTATCCAATATATGTTTGTCCCCTTCTAGATAAGTCTCTATTACTGTATAAACTTGTGATATTTTCAATATTGATTTGATTTGATATAGAATTTAAGAAAATTAGATATATTTTTTAATCTTATCTTTATATTAATGATAAAGATTTATGCAACTATTACTTTGATTGTCTTTTCGATTTTATTTATTTCTTTAATTTTGATTTGATATAGAGTTTAAGAAAGTAAGAAATATTTTTGAATCTTGAGGTTATATTAAGGATATGTATTCTACTATAACTTTGATCCTCTCTTCGATTTAATTTGTCTGATTTAACATAGAGTTTAAGGAAATAAGATATATTTTGAATCTTATGATTATATTAAAGATATATATGTAGAATGTATCAATCATTTGATCATATGATCTTTAATATAACAGTATAGAAAATTAGAATCAAAGAGTTGTTAAAATAAATTAAAAACAAACTAAAATAAAGTAAGATAGATAAATTGAAAAATAGGAAATAACTATGTATTTCAAATATCCTCGATTAATTTAAATTTATGTTAGTGTAAGTAAAGCCGATTTAAACAGAAAATCTTCCTACTTATCGGTTTCCACCTAATAATTTATTTTTTAAAAATAGATTGTTATATTATTAGTATAAATACATGGTATAAATTATTAATGGGATGAATTTTTATATTGGGAGTATTTTTTTTAAAATAATACTATTATTTACTATATATGAATATATATGGCATAAATTTTTTTATATCATAAATATATCATGTACTAATTTTATGGTATAAATATAATTTGTAGCAACGTCAGATCCAAATTCATTGTTATCCATATTTATATGGATAGTTTACCTTACAATTCATTTTCAATCCGTTCAAATTCGATTCAATCTATCCATTTATCCGCTATATAAAACACAAATTCTCTTACAAAAACACACTCCAACTTCAATTTTCTCCACATATACGAAAAAATAATCCTCATTTAGTTACTAATTTTCTTTGAAAATTAATGAAAATTTTAATTTTCCTAATGATGTTTCTTACTTTAGTGTTGGTAACAAATGGGATTAATAATCTAGTAGAAACAACATGCAAAAACACACCAAATTATGATTTGTGTGTGAAAACTTTCTCATTAGACAAAAGAAGTGAAACAGCCGGAGATATTAAAACATTGGCATTAATTATGGTTGATGCTATTAAATCTAAAGCTAATCAAGCTTTTAGTATTATTTCAAAACTTAGACGTTCTAGTCCTCCTCAAGCTTGGATACATCCCTTAAAGGAATGTGCATTTTCATATAAGGTAATTAACGTTTCGATTTATCTGTCTTATTTTTTTTCTTTTAATTCGTTTAACAATATAACGAAAGTCTCTTTTCCTTTTTGGCCCATTTGAAATATGTTTTTTTCCTTCTTGGAAACTCATTATTTTCAACTTTTTATATGACTTCTGTAAGACCAGCTACAAGATTATATTAAAGAATAAATCTATAAGACTAGTTACATAATGGAGAAAGTATTATCGTTTTATTTACAAGCACAAAAATATAGGAAGAGGTCGAGAGGATTTCAAACGTATAATAATATTGTGATTTTCTAATGAAGGGATGTCAGTTGAACATTCTATCTTCTTTGCTTTGCCTCAACATTGGAGTTTGTGCGATACTATTTTCTTATTAGTTCTTTTAATTAAAAAAGGTTAATTACTATACTTCAAGTAGTTTAACTTTATTTTTAATTTATTTCAAGCTTAATCACATATTTTTCAACCCCAAAAAGCTCATTACTGCTTTAATATAACCTCCCTTTCATAATAAGTAATATTTTTATCTTTATTTTGACTCAAAATAAGTGGTGTTTCACGTAATTCTGAGAAAATATTAATTGTGTAATAACTAAAAAAAATTATACCTGATACGGCAAATATAGAAATATGTCATTTTTCTCAAGTATCAAATGTTGATTATTTTATTATATGATTTCCAAAACAGGTAATTTTAACAGCAAGTATACCAGAAGCAATAGAAGCATTAACAAAAGGTGATCCAAAATTTGCAGAAGATGCAATGGTAGGTACTTCTGGAGATGCACAAGAATGTGAAGATAATTTCAAGTCTAAATCTCCACCACTTTCTAAATTAAACATAGATGTTCATGATCTTTCTGATATTAATAGAGCTATTATAAGAAATTTATTGTGATGTGTCATGTTACGTTACGTTATGTTATGTTACATGTGTCCATCATAAAATTATTGACATGTGTAATGTACCCCTCTTAATAATTATAATAAATTAGTTACGAAAAAATTGTGTTGTGTATAAGCATTGATAAATTTTAAGTGTTATTGATTATATGATTTAAATTTTTTGTTTGACAATAAATTATGTGTGTGTATATATATATATATATATATATATATTGATTGGTGACGTTTTTTTTCTTGAAAATGAAATGACACACAAATGAATAGTATAACGTGTCACCATCTAATTCGTCCTTTTAATTGAGCCTCATCTTGTAGATCAGGTACAACTAAGAACTTTTTTAATTATTTATATTATTTTTTTAGATTAGCATCAAGTAGAACAAGAAAATCAACATTAACCATCATTTAAACTCTAAATTGTGTTTTGATTGAACCATAATTAGATCCATAATTTCGAAAACAAACACTAAGAATCATTGATTTTGAATCAAATAACACTAAGTATCATGAATACAACAACATTTTCTAAGAGTTCGAATAAAACATTTGTCCGAACGTATTCAAAGAGTGAAGTAATTAGCTCTATGAAAAGTGCTTCTTTTGTGGAACTTCCATGCAGAAAGTGAGTTCAAAGGAGTTCCTTTCCATCCAATTGTTACAAAATTTTCATTCATTTCGAGCGTGAAAGAGTTCTTACCACAGAACTTTTCTACCACCGTCTTGGCTTGGTACAACGATGAGTTGCTCATTTTCATCTCCTCCATTCCAAATTGCTTGAAATACTCTCTCCATAACTCGATCGTTACATGCCTCATAGTCCTTTCCTCCCCCTCATTCGCGACAATGTTCCTTATTCCATGCCACATTACTTCTTCTTCCATAGCCTTCCTAGTTGATTCATTATTTTTCATACAATCCTCGAACAAATCAAACAAAGCACCGTGATAGAATAGAGCTTCAATGAAACGGTTAACAAAAACAGGAGAGTTAAGATTTGCCTCGACCTCTGCAACAATCATTATACAAGGATTCAATTCTTTGATGAATCCCATCAGGAAATCGAGTCTATCTTGTTGTGTTATCATATTGGAGAGTAGATATTGCGAGTAAACTGCAAGGGATTCCTCAGGATCGATGTCTAAGTCTTCTCTCTTTAGATCAAAGATATCTTTCACCATAACTATCTTGAAACATAACGGAAAGTGTAAGGACTCAGCAAAACTCATAAGTCGTTTACCTGTCTCCTCGACGTTAGTCCTTGATTGAACATCTATCAATGCAGTTACCTTAAGATACTCAAGAGAATTTTGAGAGTTGTGTTGATGATGAGTTGTGAGTGCTTGCATTAGGATTGTCCATTGCACTCCCATTTTGATCTCGAGATCAACTATATGAATCTTTTTCGAGTTCTCCACATTTTCCACTATAGCTTGAATTCCAGCAAATTTCACCACTTGACACATTGGCATGTCCTGAACTGCAATCGTGCACGCGTTTATACTCCTTAATGACTCCTGAAGATCTCTCATTCCATGTAACCCTAAACCTTTCGTGCAATTTTTCCCCGTTTCAATATCAACTCGTTCGCGTAGAGCACGAGAGAAATAGTACACCAATCTCTCAACAGGGTTCCCTGTTTTGGAACTCAGCTTATCACATTCATTCAAAAGGTTAATCGCGCGATCAAAAAGCTTCTCCCGATTTTCTCTGCAGAAGCAAGTAGACGTTCAACGAGCATTATGGTTCTAGACTCTTCCTCTGAAAGACTACACAATGAGTTAATAAATGGATGATCGAATTCAGTAGATTGAATAAATTTTTGTCCACCAAATCGAAGAATTTCCTCTGTGGACAATTTACAAACACTTGGTGTGCACTCATTTTCACTAATTTGAACAACATCAATCTTTTGCCCCTTTAATTTTCTAAATCCATTTCCAAAGTCTTTCAATATGTTGAGTGAAGAAATCAATGATTTCTTCACTTTTTTGTTATCATCTGTTGTTTCTTTAATATGAAGAATAGTTGTTGTTTCATCTTCAACGTCGAAATCCCAATCATCAAATGTAACAAAATCATGTTCGTTTTGTTCTTGCATACTACTTGTTTTTTCTTCTGGTTCGTAAAACGGCCAGCTGGTTGGGTTTTCCATATTAGTATGAGTCAATTTCAAAGAATTGGTAACAATTTTATATATGGTTTTTATAATTATAGAAACTTTGGTATCATCTATAATCTATGTTTTCAATTTTTGAAAAAAAGACAAATCAAGCAATACTAAGTTCAGGTCGATGATATCAGTAGATGTTGTTGTTATTGGTTTATGGGTAGGATTCTAGTCCGATGCATTAAGCTTTTGCTATGCGGAGTATGTTATACATAGTTTTACCTTGCATTCCGCAAAAGGTTGATTCACACTCCAGAAAGATTTATCATTCGAAAAGAGGAAAAAATGGAGTCTTTGTCTATTGAAATGGCAAATGTATAGACCTCAACGAGATAGTGCTATTTCAAGCTAACTGACTATCCCGATAAGAAGATGAAGCCTGATCGGGCTAATAAGAAAGCAATCAATGGAAGGGGTCGAACATGTTGTTACATTTTTTCTGAATCTTTCAAGATGAAAATAGATCGAGTGACTTAACTTCCTCTAGGCAGTTGCATACAGCTTTGCTACAAGTGGTCCTCCTTTGAATTGTGTGATTCCATAGCTATGATGTGGCTCGCCAACATGTCAAGAAGCCACTTCCCAAACTGTTTTTGAGCCATCCCTGCTACTATAACTTGAGCGCCACATAGTTGGACGATAACCATTCTTAATGAATTTCATTGCAGATAAATAATAATCACATTTCTTACATCTGAACACGAAAGGAATGGAAGCTCTAACATCTAAGAAGGGACCTCCCGAGTTGTTATCTTTCAGAAGGTATAAAGGTTGTTTCCTAGATCCGCTCAGTTGAGCATTTTTATCTAAACACACCTCAACAACAACAATAACATACATTTTGTAATCGAACAAGTGGGATTTGGGCGTTATACGTAGATTTGAAAAGGAAATACAATAGTGCATAAGTATAATGTAGAAAAGAAGAGTAACAACAATAAATAAAACAAATATCGTAATCGGAAATACAATAGGAAACTAGACTGTGCTCGACTACCTATATCCTAATTCTAGTGGTGCTCCACTACCGACTAGCCTTCTATCCTAATTCCGCTATCGTGCTTGACTACCAACTAGACTTATATCCTAATTCCGGTGGCCCTCCACTATCGACTGGCCTTCTATCCTAATTTTGATAATTTTGGTGGCACTCCACTGCCGACTAACCTTCTATCCTAGTTCCGGTCGTGATTGACTACCAACTAGCATTTAACCCTATATATAAACACACGGAGAATTCAACTTATCATATATACATAATAAAGTATTTTAACTTTTCTATCGCGTTCCAACGAATGAGAATTCAAATGAAATCCACACCCTAAATACGCCCCCGTGACCAATCTACCCACAACTTTACTATGTTATCATCGACTCCAACTTATTCGAGATTAAAGTGTACGTAGTTAAATTTAAATATGGTATTAAAAACTACAAAAAAAAAAATATACCTGAAACGATAGCCATACTTGTTCCTCTTCGTAAACTGGTATTAAAGACTAATAATACTAATAATGATACTTATAAAAAGTATTAAATTAGTTTCATCCCATATAGAGTTCTTATTGTTCTAGGTTAACTATATATATGGCTTTACAAATTCTAATACACATAAAACTCTTCCACTTATTTGAAAATTATAATAAATGTTTCTATCAACTATAATCGGTCAAACTTCTTTGTAACAACATTGCTTCGAGATTTTTAAAATGGTATATTGATGGAAATATATATTCACATAATCTAGGAAATCGTCTAATCTTTCATTTTTTTAGTGTTATAAAAAATACCGTAACAAATTTATTTAACTCAATGACGGAAATATATATATATATATATATATATATATATATATATATATATATATATTGTGTATTATTTATGAGTTAGAAAAGCTGTTTTCGATAGACTATTGGCTCAACTGAAAAAAGAAAAAAAAATTGAAGCATGATAGCAAGAAAAAATCACAGTAAAATAACAAAATGTGCAAATCAAATAAAGTAACATACAGTAAAACAAACAACGTACAACAACACTCGACTAGCTAACTAACCAACGAATAACAATATATATAAATTAATTAATTTTTTTTTTTCTCAACCACAAAAGAGTCCTTGGAAGTCCTCCAACATAGAAAGAAAAAATTAAGTTTTACCAACTAATTTGTTGGGTTAAATTAGCAACTTCTAACTATCTTACAAATCATTTATACAAAAAAAAATAAAAAAAATTAAAAATTAAATATGTTGTTATCTTTCTTTAAAAATTCTTCAAGATGAATATTAATATTACATTGTTTTTGGTAATTTTCCTAGTTATATATGTAATATTCTTGGATTTTGTTCATGGTTTATCTGTAAAAAATGTGATTGATTCTCATGTATTAACACAAAAAATTGGCACTAATCGCACAATTATAGTGGATATTAATGGACAGGGGGATTTTAAATCTATTCAAGCAGCAATTAATACAGTTCCAAATGGGAATTCCAATTGGATCATTATCCATGTTAGAAAAGGGACATACAGGTATACTTGGTTAATTTTTTAAATTATCGTCGAGTTTCACTTAGGTCGTTGAATTTGATGAAATTCCAGAATAATGACTAGTTTTCGAATTACTTTTCTATTTCAATAATGGTGGTATCCGACCCAAATAACTTACACATAATTGTTATTATTTTATTGAGTACTTGTGACTATGTCAACCTTAGGTAAATAACATAAAAATGAGAGAATTAGAATGTTAGGGATCTTATAAGAATAAGTTCAGGATCAAATATTTAAACGCATTTTGTATACGTACCCAAGGAACAAATTTGTGTGGCCTAGGGTCAGAACGGACAGTACCTTAACCGTTGCACTAAAGTTGTTACACAATAGGCACCTATTCCTATTCACCAACACATATCGATACTAAACTAGTCCTACGTGGATGAAAAGAAATCATCATATAATACGAACATTTATCTAGTTTTTACTATTTTTATTGGTCATTAGACTATACCCTTGAGGGTATAATCGCTTCATACAAGGAACATAAATAATTTCAAAAATATTTATATATTTGAATTCGTAGTCTCTCTCTATATTGAAATGAATGTGACGATAACATATAAAATCAAATTCATTAAATTTAAATTCTAGAGCTGCCTCGATTCTTTCTTTATAATAAAAAAAATGAATTTGTTGAGATTTTTTTTAATTTTTTTTTCAGAGAAAAAGTTAATGTACCACCAAAGAAGTCCTACATTTTTATGAGAGGCAATGGAAAAGGAAGAACATCAATTGTATGGTCAGAAAGTTCCACTGATACAACCAAATCTGCTACTTTCAAAGTTGAAGCTCCTAATTTTGTTGCCTTTGGCATTAGTTTCAAGGTTCATAATTTTTATAATCCATCTCCATAAAATATTCTTTTTAATTTGTATCAATTTAATATCTCGCGTTCACACAGGGTTCAGAGAATCGTCACATCCTAAAGGGTGTGATATAGACAGTTTATCTCAATGCAAACATTAGTAACTGTTTTTACAGCTCGAACCTGTGAATATAGGTCACAAAAAGATAGCTTTACACTCTCTCCAATAAAAACTTAGCAAATAGACTTTAACACATTTAACATTCACTTAATTGAAGTATGTGTTTTTGGTCCTTTTAGGTAGAAAACATGTCATATTTAGACTATGTTTTAGAACTATATTACCATCAAATAATTAATATTTTCCTGAAAAATGACTTTCATATCTTAAGAAATATATATTTTCAAATCATGAAACCTGAATTCATGAATTTAGTCGTTTTTTGTGTGTATTAATACATGTTGATTTTCCTAAATTTAGTTGGCGAACTCCATTTGACCTGAAATTTATCCAAATCTAATCTTTGACTTGTCTAAAATTAGAATATGCATATATAGTACCATTGACATATATTGTGAAAGTTTTTTTTTCTAATTTTTTTTATATATATTGTGAACTTTTTTATTTTATTTTATTTGGTAGAATCAAGCACTTGATGGTGTAACTTCAACCTCAACAAACCAAACATCAGTAGCAGCATTGGTGGGAGCAGATAAAGTTGCCTTTTATCATTGTACATTTTTGAGTACTCACAATACACTTTTTGACAATAAAGGAAGACATTATTATGAGGATTGTTACATTCAAGGTTCATTAGACTTCATATTTGGAAGTGGTCAATCCTTATATCAAGTGAGTTTAATTTTTATGCATCGATATAAATTATAGTATTCATTCATATAGAAATATATAATCAGGTTATTTATATGAGTAGATTCAAGTCAATTTATGTATACTGATAATATGAAAGAAAGAGAGTTATATTATTAGTGTATATAACTTAACTTTCATACATTTGTAGGTTATTGATTCTACTTTTTATGAATTTAATTAAAAATAATCATAGGTAACTCTCCAAGATAAGAGAAACTATTTCCTAACAAAAAATGTGTCAGACAACCAGTTACAACAAGTTAAAATACACTAATAGTGAATAAATTTTACACAATCAATGTATTGCAACATGCCACAATTGATAATTCGCTTTATTTTCTAGGGTATTAATCTCATTATCTATGAATAATACCTATATATTTTCTTTCACATGACTTGATAGTGTTAAAAAGGTTAATTCCACTATCAACATCTAGAAGTTAAAAATACAACCGTGATAAATGATGTTTGTTACGTTGTACCAATGTCTCTATTTTAGAGTTCAAGGAATAAGGTAATGAAATTCTGATACTCGATGGACATTTTATTCGTTTTTTTTTTTTTTTTTGTAGAATTGTGAGATATTTGTAGTTGCAGATAGAAGGGTTGATATTCGTGGTTCAATAACTGCACAAAGTAGATATAGTGACAAAGAAAATAGTGGATTTGTGTTTGTTGAAGGAAAAGTGTTTGGAATTGGAGGTGTGTATTTGGGAAGAGCTAATGGGGATTATTCAAGGGTTATTTTTGCAAAAACTTATTTTTCTAAGACAATTGTACCTCAAGGATGGACCAATTGGAGCTCTCCAGGATCAACAAAGTAAGACAACCTTTTTCCGTCTTTTCATACTTGATTTTGATATGTTTTACTTGAGTCGATCGAGAGTCTATCAGACATAGAAGGTACAAATTAAGCACTTGTGAGATTACACTAGGTATATTGATGATGTGGTTGTAGCTATGAGTCTACGACCATTGAAATCGAGAATTTGGATCAGATTAATAAACTTACAATCATGAAACAAACTTAGGTACTTATCAACGACGTACATAATTTATCATGAGTAGTGGTTTGTCGAGTACTCTGCTTGCTACCATGTTGATCAAAATTATAACTAGGTTTAATGACTTTATCAGTTTCTAATATTGATCATATTATAAGATTCTCTCACTTTATGATTGATATATAATTCTCTTATAATTATAAGCGTATTTCTGAAAGATATATATAGAGGTAGTGGTATTTCATACCAAATTATACTTGATTCATAGGATCATAGTAGATCGATTTACTAGGTTTAGGGGTGGAACCAGCTTGTATCAAGGGGTTCGATCAATTGAATCCCCTCCACCAGAAAATCATACTATTTTTTAAGAAGTTGAAAATAATAAATAAATAAAAACTGTTGAATCCCCTTGACACAAGAGAAGATTCTACCTTTGTAGCATAAGGGTTCAAAAATTACTTTGACATCAAATTTAAATTATGAATCCGACTAATTCCGATATTTTGGTGCAGGAATTTATATCATGGTGAGTACAAGTGCCATGGACCAGGGTCAGCCATAGAAAGTCGTGCCCCATGGTCAAAACAACTCAATGATAAAGAAGCCATGGCATTCACCTCTATTGAATTTATCCAAGGCAAACAATGGCTTCCAGCATGGATTTAATTAAATTTAAACCATATATTATATGAACATAAATTAGAACTATATATTAATATAGTATTATTAGCCATGAAGTGCATCTCTTAATTGTATTTTTATGATGCCTCTGGCTAAACACTTTTAGCTTAGATTGAAATACCAATAATATATTTTATTGGTATTTCAAAAAGTTGTGAATATTTTTGAGCAAACACATACAAATTTTGTCATTTCAATATAACTTTTCAATAAATTATATTAGAATGGTGTAAGTCCATCATTACTTAGGAGCAAAACAAGTTACATCTTGCTATTTTAAATCACTATAACTATTTAAGTTTTACTATAGTTACTCGAAATGGATTTAGATAATGACCTGTCCGACATAACCTATGATTTGGCGGAGCCAAGATTTTTAATAAGGGGGTTCAAAATCTGAAGAACTAGACACACGAACTAATCGAAGGGGTTCGACATCTACTATATATACATAAAAAATAATTTTAATCATATATAAATAGTAATATTTTCCGCCGAAGGGGGGTTTGGATGAACCCCTAACAGAGGGCTGGCTCCGCCCCTGCCTATGAATCCATCAAGTTATGATCGCACAAATTTCTTAGACGGGACAAAATTTAAATATCGACGTTAAATGATCCTATTTGTGTAAATCTTTCCCAAGCCCAATACCAAAATCAGGCCCAAGTGAATAAACAAAATTCTTTAGGGCTCCAATTAACACTTCACACAATTTGGTAAAAACTCTCTGAAACTGAATCGGAATCGGAGCTGAGAGAGCAAGCAACAATGGAGGCCGGAGACGAAGCGCTTGAGATGGTGGTAGACTCAAAGGACTTGCAGCAGCAAAGCAAAGCTCTAGATAAGCTCACTGACCATGTCGAAGATCGTCAGCTTGATTCCTCTCGTGTTCAAACGGTACCGTTTTATCCATATTTCACATGAATCTATGCAATTCTGAATTTGCTTCAGTTTTTTGTAATTTTAATGCTGAAAATTTTGTGTATTTTTAGGCTATGGCTTCAATTTATGCATCTAAGGAAGCTGATCTTCAAGCTATGAGACTGAGGTTTGTGAATTCTTGCTTATGAATTTGAATGTTTTTGGATGGTATTACTGATTGAATAGTTGGAAATAGTTTATTTTTTTCAAATATTTTTGTAACTATAAGAATTTGTTAGTTATAATAGTTTTGTTATATATGCAGCTTCTAAAAATGTGATTTTGTTCTATAAAATAGTAAAAAATGATGCTTCGAAAATTAGACTATGGCATCAATTACTTCATAAGGAAGCTGATATTCAAGCTAGATGAGGTTTGTTTTTCTTCTTTATTGTTGAACTTAATCGAGGATAAGGAAGCTATAGAATTGCTATTTGGGGAGTCGAGTAGTTATTTATTGAGTTGAGGATCTAGCGGAAACAGTTCTCTATACCTTAGAGGTCTCCGTACACCCTACCCTCTCCAGACAGCACTTTGTGGGATTATACTGAATATGTAGTTGTTGATACAAATTCGTTGTTTGAATTACTTTTAATCTGGTCTAAAACCATGTAAATTCTTACTAACAAGAATTAAGAAATTGATGCACTTGCAAATTAGGCTGTCGCTTTACTTGTTGCATTGAAGGAAGTCGAATTCAGGTCTTGCATTCCGGATGGATTTGACTTTTAAATACTCCCTGCCACTCAGAAGGAATGACAGGGTTTAGAATACGAAAGTCAAATCATCGAAACTTCAAAGTGAATTCAGATGTTATTTCCTCATTTTCAAATAAGATTACATACGTAGTCATTATGATAGAGTAATATACATTTTATAATTTTTTAAAGACATATCAGGCTTGTTTCTATAAATCGTAAATACTAAAGAAAATTGTTTGGGTCTATCGGGAACAGTAGAGGGTAAGACCAAGTACACACCACCCTCCCTAGACCCCAACTGTGGGATCACACAGGGTATGTTGTTGTACAAAAGAGATTTTTGAAATAAAGTGTGATTATATTTATATGATTGTTGTTACTCAGAAATCTCTTTTGTTGATCTTATCCATAATTCTTGTTTGTTTATGTGAAAGGTGTTTGTACTGAACAATTAGTTCAATTTGTTGCTTCAAGAAAGTTGATGAGTGTTTTGATTGATTGCTCATGCGGAGTTGCATTTCTTTAGCTTTCAAATCATTGCCAGAAATTTAGGAAGCATTGCTTGTAAACTTCAATTTGTGTAACCTTATCTGATTATGAAATGAGTTTGAAGCCCACAAGTTTTTAGATACATGGAACTTAGTTGATGTGTGCAAGGGACTTTCAGTTTATCCAAATTAAATAATTGAATCGGTTGGTATGTCTTCACATGCTTATTTTACGTGCATCGAAGGGAAATGAAGATCTATTCAATCATGGAAATCAAATAACAAAACAGTGAATATGAGTTCATTGATTTCAAATATGATATTGAAATGGAAAACGATAGTCTCTTGCCTCTCGGATTGGCAAAAGAAAAAAGAAAACCACACCTAACAACTACTATTTACATTCCTATTAACGTCGATATTACCTTTCAATGTGTGTACTTAGCTCTTGAACCTCTTTCAGTGTATTTTTCCTGCTTTGATAATGTCCTATGCTTCTTGTGAAGTTCCATAATCCTTTATAAATAAGATGGCATCGACAACTTTGTGTCTACTACAGGGAAAAAGAACTAGCCGCTGTTAAGATTAATGCTGCTGATATTGATATAATTGCAAACGAACTAGAGGTCGGTTTCCTCTTACATCTACACGCGTTGTTTCTGTTGCTTTCTTATAAATCTCTCATGTTGTTACGATTGTGGAATAGGTGGACAAGAAGGTTGCTGAAAGGACTTTGAGAGAGCATAAAGGTGATGCTGTAGCTGCAATAAGGCATTTGCTCAACTAGTACAACAACTACAACGCCTCAGTTCCAAATAAATTGGGGTCGGCTATATGAATAGTACCGGGGATTTTTTCTGTTGATTCTGAGATGTACTAGCAAAGAGACTACTAAATGTTCATGCCATATATGTAACTTTGATCTGTTGACGCTGCTTTTCAATTATATTGGTAATTAATTGCTACTATCGGAGTGAAAAATTAGATGTGATTGATGAGCAAGTTTTGGATTACGAAATGATCTATGCATTACTAATATGTACATAACTTGTCTTCAAACCAAATGACCCATAAGTGATTTCTATACATCTTCATTAGCCAAAGTTGGTCTGTCTGAGTTACTGAATGTATACATTGATAAAAGATAGCAGGTATCTCATGGAATAATCGAATATATTCTTAGTGGACAAGACTCAACCCCAGTTAAACTTCAATTGAGACTTCAAATTCAAAATTGCATACAAAGGAGCAACAGTACAAGAAAATCAATAACTTACAAGACTTGAAACATACCACCTGGGATGCAAATTTCAAATTCAATGTACAAATATTTGACTGTTGTAACCTTATAAAACCCACAATGATTTGAAGATGAGTTCACTTCATAAAAGATAACAAACCAATGCAAACTGTGAATTCATCGAACAAGAATCATGTCAAGACTCACGTAGGGCAGTAAATGACTATTACCAACTTGACTCGAATAAAGGGAGCTTCGTTTTCTTCATCAGATTTCTTTGTAATGAATTAACACTGCAAGCCTAACATTTAGTCTCTGAACGTAGGATCCGACAACACAAGCTGTTTGTGAGCTCTGACCGACCAACTTTCATGCGACAGCCATAAAATCTTGAACAGTTAGCAATCAGCAGATGAACCTCAACCATATACGTCTGTTAGTTGTGTTTACTGTTCCTTCTGGCTGCTATCTCCTGCAGTGCTACGTGCTGCCTGTGCCTGAATAACGTACTGTCGCTGCAGATCCTTAAGTTTTTCCATCAACTCTTGGAATGAAGGACGAGATTGTGGCTCACTGAGTTGGACAAAACATAAAAAAGTTGTATATCAGCTCATTTCAGAATAATGACGAGTAGGCCTCAATCCTAAGCAAGTTGGAGTCATGTCGCTCCATTTACAGCTCGGTTCAAAGATGTGTAAAACTAATGTGATTCAAAGCAAAATGGTTGTCAGGGCAGATGCTTTGCAATTGCAGTCATAATGCTCGGGAGGCGGGACAATGGAATCAAAGTTAGCCGATGATACTTTACAAGTCACTTGTCAAAAAGATGCACTGAACCTCAACATCCTTTTCCTAAAAAGGCTTCATTCTTAAAGATATTATTATGTCCAGGTTACATATTGTCCATTAACTTCTACTTTAATTTCTCTCAAGATTTATCAAGGAAGATATGGCATATGTTTCGATGTCATCTCAGTCTGGTTTGCTAAAGAGGAGTCCATCATAGCTTTAGAACCAATTTGAATTCAAGGCAATAGGCCTTGGAAATTCCAAATAATAATAAGAAAAACTGATCATTTTTTTATCATGATGATATCTTCCTCTTAAGGCTATTTGCTTCAACAAAACAAATTATGATGGCAAAAAGAATTAAGATGCAAACCTGAGCCAACAACTCTCGATAATAGACGCCAATTGTGGATGAACATCCTTTGGGATATCTAGCCGCTGATTCATGAATCCTACAGCTGCAATCACCTGCAATCAACTCCAAGAAGTTGTTCTTTTTATACCATTATATGATGAAAAATAATCCACTATTATCTTTTACTTTTGAGTTGATGGTCAAAAACACACCTGAAGTTCAGGTAAGAAACTCGAAAAATGTGATACTTCCAAGTGTGTTTGACCATTATCTCTTTATTTTTCTTATATGTGAGGACTGAGGAGTGTCGGAGGGGGGGAGGGGTGCTCTTCACCAACTTGAGCAAGAGAACTGAATTTTATGGAATGTTGTCCATGTGAGATTTTAGTTAGATGAAAATACCTGCATTGTGTTGAGGTTATCCCAAGGGATTTTCTCCGTGGCGAGTTCCCATAGTATCACTCCAAAACTGTATACATCAGACCTAAAGGAACATTCAAAGAAGGATTAATATCTTTAAAATATTTAGAAATCTGCATAAAGTGCATATATCTCATAGTTGGCATACTTCTCATCTGAAGGTTCATTGCGAAGAACTTCTGGAGCCATCCATTGAGGCTGCATGAGAATTAATGTAAAAAGTCAGATATTCACATGACGTTCCAACACCATAGGTGAAGTAAA